AGCGAGTATTTGGCCGGAATTTACTCGCGGCGTACACTTTCTTGTTCCCCTTCCGGGGAAGGACTTCCCCCTCCCGAGGGATGCTGCCCCCTTTTCAAATCAGGGCCCACCCCCTCGACTATCATCTCCGCCTCAGTTCTTGTAGCGTCCACATTCCAACATCTGACTATCTTTCTTCTAACCGTGGCCGCCTACTGGCCCAGTAGTACTGGGAGCCGATGCGGCTATGCTGCTCGCCCCAGTGACTCTGATTTGCCTCCTCAGTCATTCTTCCCCTTTTGACTGAATGCCACCCTCACGCAAGCGGGCCCGTCCTTCTCAGCCCAGCCAATTGTCTAAGACATCAGCTTCTCTCTTGGCTCGCAAGGCTTCGCGTCGGTCTCGCAGACGCATCTCACAAGATCGCTCCTCTTCAACCCAGTTGCCCACATCGGGTCCGTCACCCGATCTCCCACGTGACCCGGAACACGGCTCAGATATGGACTCCCAGACCAACGCCTTTCTGCAGCAGGTCCTCACAGATTCAACAACAACAACCCCGCATCTCGGTCTTCCCAAGCTGGACCCAAGCCTGGTTCTTCCCTCTGGACCTCACACCTCTTCGGGTCCTCCTGACGTCATGCTCGGTCACTTGGTGGCAAGTTTGCCCAAGCATCCTTCCTTGAGCAACTTCTTAAACCAACCATGGCACGGCTTCCTTCCGCCTGCCTGGCAGCGCGTCAAAGGCATAAACCCCCCTGATCCCGCTAGTCTCGGTGCCCTATCGACCGCCCTCATGGCGGCTCTCGGACTGGTGGGTCGCTTGACCTTAGCGAACGTTATTTCTCCGACTGCCGCTCTTGCCTTCCTCGGTCGCATGGCCGACGCCGGCTTCGGCCGTGAAGGCACTAGCAAGTGCCGCTACCTCCTAGATTCTATTCCGGTTGAAGCCTATGCTGCTACAGTGGACGGGCGCATCCCCGACCGCTCTCTCGCCATCCCTGGCACAAGGTAACGCTAGCTTTAAATGTGATCAGCTACTGATCAATCATTCATTGCTCTGCCTAGGTGTCTCCCGCTCATCGAGATCTTCGCCCGCTTCCCGGGATTCCTCCCACCACCTGTGCCTCCCTCGTCCCCTTCTCGGTCCAAGGGCGCTGGTGCTGGCACAGGGAAAGGGAAAGGGAAAGGCCGTTCTCAACGCTCGTCAGACGAGCCAGATCCGACCCCAGACCAACCTCGCTCCGCTGGTCTCACAGACTCAAATGCGTACCGTTTCCTACACTAATCTCCTCTTGACCCAATTTTCCCCTTTTTTTTTCTTCTCTCCTCGCCTATTTCCTGTTGGCACATAGACTTCGTTCCCGGTATAGTTAGCTTCTTTCCATAAGAGTCTGGCGTTCGGCAAGCGCTGTACCGCTAGGGACTTTCCGTTCTAGTCAGGACTTCTGCCGTCTCTTTCATTCACTCACATGACCTCTCTGCGTAGAGGGTCGCGCAGCCTTCAGGCTCGCCTGATCCGGAAGGGCACTCATGCACTGCGCCAACATCATTTACATTCACTGCTTGAGTTCGTCTTCAGCGAGGACCTCTTCATCCTACGCCCGACCAAACCAGACTCGATTACTTACGGCTATCCGTACTGTAAACCGCTGCACGGTGATCTTCAGTCGCTAAATCTGCTATCGGGTGCTACTGTGACGCCACTCGAGCATTTAGCTTGGTCTTCGTCAATAACTCATATTGCCGAGGCTTCTTCCACTCTCCCCACGATGCTTCGTGGCTCCCTCGCGTTACACAGCTCTCTGCCACCAGCTTCGATCCGATTCATACGGCAACACAATCATCAAGCTCTCTCGATCCTCTGGGGTCACCAGGGTCGCGCCAGCCAACGTCTCCTTCCTGACGGTAATCACTGGAATCTCGAATGTATCGACTGGCTCATCAAGGTCACTCGCTTCCGCGACTACCAGCTACTCTCACATCTCACTCACGGGTTCCCTGTAGTTGGTTACATCACAGATGGTGGTCTTTTCAATATGTCCGACCATCCTAAGATTCCATCGAAGACAGTCTCGGACTTAACCACCTCCCCTAACGATTTGGAGCACATTATTAACTACCTCCGCCGTACCAGACCCTCCGACCCCAACCTCATCCATGCCGTAGAAGAGGATGTCCGCCAAGAAGCCTTGCTAGGGAGAGCACTAGGCCCTCTATCGCCCGATATTGCTCTTCAAGCTCCATCTTTCTGCTCTCCCATATTCGCTATTCATCAAAGCAACAAGATCCGTTTGATATCCAACTACGCATTCCGCTCGCACGGTGTTCGACTGAACGACACCGCGGAAGTTCATCATAAGGTTTCTATGCCACGGCTCTCTCACATTGCGCTCGTGGCCCAGGCACTGGGCTCTGGCACAAAACATCTCTCACGTACAGACCTTGAAGATGCCTATCGTCAACTTAAAATCTGTCCTGATCATCGTCCTTACACAATTGGTATCTACCTGAACTCTATGGGCCTTCCACAAGCTACCATTCCTGGCTCATGCCCATTTGGAGCTACAAGTAGCGTCACCAGCTTTCTACGGACTGGAGAGTTTTACTGTCATGTTCTTCGGTCCCTGGGATTGGTCAATGCCTTGAGTTACCTCGACGACTTTTTCCCCATCGAAGTCCCCCAGCTATCCGCCTCAGCTTTGACTTTGATCGAGTTCGTCATGGAAATACTCACTGGGGCCCGCATTAAACACAAGAAGGATATTCCTCCTTCTCACGACAATATCCTCCTCGGTCTTCGCGTGAATCTCGAACACGGGCAATGCATTGTCTCTCTGACTCAAGACCGACGCGCGAAGCTCATTTGCGACCTCCTAGACGTGAAATCTGGTGCTTTGGTAACTTCGAAACTCGCCGGGAGGGTATCCTTCGCCTGTGACGCCTTCTTCGGACGGGTTGGCCGAGGACCCACCCGTGTCCTCATCCGGAAGAGTCTTGGTATCCCAACGCCCCCGAACCTCCTCGCTTCAGCGGTCGACTCTCTGCTACATCTATTCCGCATGGACAACCTGCCACCCCGCAATTTGATTGACGAGACCGCACTGCATCACCGGCCACTCTGTTGCTACGCCGACGCCACGGGGGACGGTCGGATTGGCATATTCACCCCCGCGAACAACATACATCCCGCGTACTTCGGCTTTTCCAAAATCAAGTTTCGCGAGCATGCCGATCC